TCATGGGGCTTCGGAACACTGCAGGCCTGCTCCATCAGACAAAAACATACTTGGGAATGAGTTTCTTGAACTCGGAAGGAACAGTCACTGCTCTAGCCGTACGAAGATACAGAATGACTTCGTCGATCTCAGCTTCCTCCCACCTATCATCCCAGCTCAGGCTCTCGAAGAATGCTGGCAGGGGCATCCCATCCTTCTCGCCTGGCTCGTCATCCTGCAGGAGGCAACTCCGGAGGCCATTAATGTGCTGAATCCTCTATGATTATTAGAAGGCTTGGGGATCGACGAGAAATTCTAGATCTCCACTGATCCATGATTATATATACAGGATCTAGCAGTTAACAATTGTCGACGAGTACCCGAATCCAATAGCATGCTAAAGAAGCTCCGGGTGTTCCCTAGATAGTCTGCTTTCCACGGTTTAAGATATACCGTATAAGTCTTTATAGGGTTCAGGGTTTATAGGGGATCTGTGGTCTAATTCAGAATAGATTAATTAGGGGATCTGTGTTCCAGTTTAGAATATATAGATCTGTAAAATTAGGGTTCTAAAATATGGAGTGATGGAATGGAATGACCAATTTTGGAGGGTATCTCTATGCCGAGTTCACAGGGAGTTGGGAAAGTTCTGATGTTCGGGCTGACATGTTTTAGATCTATGGAAGGCAAAACCTAATCATCCTCTTTGGAAAACAAACTCCTACTGTATATGGTTATATTTAAGGTATAATATGTCTTGTCCACGAGGCGTCTAGGAACCGAAGCTGAGGGTGGAGCATATAATATAGGAGCCCAGCTGTGAAAGTACAGGTTTAGGGTTTAGGGTTTAGGGTTTAGGTATGATAGAGAGACAGGCTAGAATTGGACCCAAGGCATTTAATGCCTTAATCAGGATTCTAGGTAAATCAAGTACCTGAATATGATATGATGTACAATCTACCAAGCCCATTTGACACCCAATATGCAGCGATCGATATATACGTCCCAAGACTGAGACCCTCTACGACCATTGACCACAATCCCCGGAAGCCCTGGCAATGCACGTGGAATCGGTGAAGCCTCGATCTCAGGAAGTTTCATCTGCCGGCAGGGCTCGATGAGCTCCACCATCCTTCGTGCGAAGGCAGCAGGGTAGATCCTGAGCTCGAGAATGACATTGCACACCAGCTCGGGGTTTTGCGTAATGCGAGGAACAGATATATAATGCATCAATCAAGCAGCCCAGTTGATTTCAACTTTTTTGTGCCGTGATATTTCTTCACACCATGGCGATCCACATATCTACGAGAAGTCTTGTAGGTCGCCTTCCTCTGGGCCCCAACCAAGGCCCCCAGATCCAAGCATCGAATGAGCGGCGAAGTCGACCACATTATCGATCTTTTAGGATTGGGGTGGCCCCAATGTCTCATCCAAAATCGCTGGACATAAACCTCGGATTGCAAAGCATACTGTGTATGTTTAGTAAGATGCTCATGTCGACTCGCAAGCACAGCTAGACTGTATACCGGCCACAATCATCTAGGAGGAGCTGGCACATTGCCTTTCTTCAGCGCCCCTAGCAGCCATTGAAATCGTGGGTAGTACCCGATGACTGAGGTGCCAGGGTTCTCCAAGAAGATATTGTGACCCAGACACACCAGCAGTGCACATATCAGCATCGCCCTGCGCACTCTATAGTTGTATTAAGGAACATGTCCTAGATCACCGAAAACGAACATCAATGCCCCACTCTGCCTGGAAGTTGCCATGTTGGCATCTTCGACGCTCTGCACATTCACGTCCCCCATCGGATTCAGCTCGTCCCGTTTCGATGTCCCCTTGTTCACGGCCACAAAGGTTGAGCATTCAATGCCCATGACAGCTATGGCCCCTTGCGGTGATCCTGCCAAAGCCATCAGAATAGCCAGCCTTAGTTTGCAACTGTTCTGTATAGGATATATATATGTGCTCGGGTACCATGCAGTATGTTCTAACGAGGCACACGAATCCCGCATTGCCATTCAGATGCAGGGCTGACCTGTTGTCCGGGAGGGGGTCATACACCTGATCAGCCGCTATGGCCCTGTAGCCACAAGCATGCGCAATGCGTGTTATTCTCGCTCGCCCGGCAAAGAGCTCGAGCGAATCGAAAGGGATGCCGCTGAAGGGGGGCTTGGGGTCCATCCAAAAGGCCAACATAACAGCCGTGATGAAGGCCTCGGCTTTTTATGCATGCATGCACACGTGCACCTGTACCATGCAACACGACACCATACATGCATCGATTTGAGTAGCTTTTGGCGCACCAATGAAGGCCAGCTTTCTCACCACGGAATCCAGCTGGGAACGTTCCATTGCAGGGGAATGGTGGGTGCAAGGGTTGCCCGGTCACACCTATAGTTCCTCGAGCATAAGGAAAATCTAAATCGTCACGCATGCACAAATCCAGTTTGCTCACTTGCAACAGGACATGGTATGAGTCAGCACGTCCCTTGTTTGATTCATACAGTCCCCACAAAACACAAAGCTCAGCAAGCTTCAAGCGTGCAGTGGTATGCGCCTTGCTCTGCGGAAGCTGGCAGGCCACCGTGTCGAGCCAGAAAGGCTTGTCCTCGCTTCATCTCCGAGCCTCGGCGAGAGAGGGAATTCGGGAACTTTACGATTCGAAGTGTCTCTAAAGGGAAAAGCACAAGCAGTGCAGGGATGCTGGATTTTGCCTCTGTGAGCGAGCAGTGCTGACAATCCCCCAGACCCAGAAATGGATGCGATCAAGTTAAAATCTCGTTGCATGTGGTATGGAACATGCAGTCGCACTCGCACAGAGCCCCCGACCACCACTAGATCTAAGATGGTGCAGGATCATGGCAAATATGTGCGCATCGCAAAACTGCTAAGCAAAAGCATGCTGAGCATGCAGGATCACGCCCCCTTCACAGGATTGGCCTTCAGAAAGTCCTGCGCTGCCTTGGCCGCGACCTTCTGGTACACCGTCATCTCGGATTTCTTCGCGAATTGCGGCTTCACAAGCATCCAGAACTCGTCCTGGAGACAGGTTTTATATCGGGTCTGGCCCGGTTTGGGGTTGGGGTCTACGGTTTGGGTTTGGGGTTCGGGGTTTAATTTGGGATTTGGGTTTGGGGGTATATGAGGTTCTCCTAATCGGCTTTGGGTTTGTGCTTCTAGATTTTCTTCAGAGTTCAATTAACAATATTTGTCCTGCTTGGCGGCACCATAGACAGTCTGCAGCTTAGCCGAGTAAGCATCGCGAATAGCTGTCCACATATTGAGGGTGTCCTCGCTGCCGTTAACCGGCTTCGCTCGCCTGGCGAAACTCTTGTCCTCTTCTGAGTGTCGCCTCCTCTTCGATGGTCGGAGCCCCTCAGGAGCATCCATCTCAGATTCGGCAGGCTTCTCCTTATTGGACTCCTTCGCTGCCTTGGGCTTGCTTGCTGCCTTGCTCTCTGCCTTGCTCTCTGCCTTGGGTTTGCTCGCTGCCGCGGGTTTGCTCGCTGCCGCGGGTTTGCTCGCTGCCGTTTGTTTGGTCGCTGCCTTGGGTTTGCTTGCTGCCTTGGGTTTGCTTGCTGCCTTGGGCTTGCTTGCTGCTTTGGGCTTCTTGCTGCTGTGCTGCTTTGAGCTGGCACTTGCCGGAGACTTCTTTTTGGGTTTAGGATTCTTCGGCGGGGTTTCGATATCAGTTTTCGGCTGCTTCACGAGCTTCTGCTTCTGCGTCGGTGCTGGGGTGTGTGGCTCATCTTCCTCAGGAGAGGGCTCATCCTCCTCAGGTTGTGGTTTATCTTCCTTAGGAGGTGGCTCATCCTCCTCAGGTTGCGGTTCATCCACCTGCGCTACAGCTGCTGCGGTCGGCTTCGGTGAGCCCTTTCGAGCCCCTCGGCCCCTTCCACGACCTCGACCCCGGCCACGCTGACCTGGACCCTTCCCCTGAGCCGGTTGAACAGCTTCCGCTTGTTGAAATCGACATGGGTTGCCCTGCCGGGATTGTACTGCATACATGCACAACGAAATCACACAGGAGTCGACTAAGCTTGGGTGTGCTGATATACAGAGATCCCGCCTGGAACTTGCTAACATCGAGCTCCTCCGAGGCTTCGGCGGCGACTTTCGGAGCATCAGCTGCCTGGGCTGACTTTGCTAGGTTGGCTTCGGCGGGGCGCTTCGCAAGAGTGCTTGTGGCCTTCATCTGATCATCCTTCTCATCCACTTTGAGCGGCTCCGGGCTGTAACTACGGGTTGCGTTGTCGTCGCCATCCTCGTCGTCGCTGATCGTCTGCACTTCCCCCAGCATCAACTGACTGTCCATTGGGGCCAGGTCCATGATGTTAGACGGGCAAGTGTCCATCTCTGACGGGTCTTAGCAAAACCGGACTGATCATATAGGAGATGCCCGACATGCATACTATGAGCACCTGCCATCTATGATTAAAGCGAGACACCAATAGCTGGTGCCGACACCGAGCGTGCTCGTTGTCGTCGTCGATCAGCCAACAAGTTCCTCAGCAACAGTTTTGAAAGTAATTGGCAAAGCTTAAACAACCTCGTGCAGTGTGGGAAGGGTAAACATGCAATTTCATAAATTAAGCTGAGACTCCGAAGCCTTTGAAGCTCTTGGTTGACTTCATATAGCTGTGCATCATACATAGATGGATCCCCATGTGAGCCTTCTCCGTGCATGGCTAGCCCTCCTGAACTGGTTGGCTCTCTTGCGCATACTATAACCCCATGTGAGCCTTCTCCGTGCATGGCTGGCCCTTCTGAACTGGTCGGCTCATCCTCATCTAGAACCTCACCATCCAAGCCTGAGCCATCCTCCAAAGCTAGCTCATCCAAGGCATTCCCGAGCGTGGCTTCGAGCCGCCCTCCTGAACTGGTCGCCTCATCTGCTTCTGCGGCTACAACTGCATTGGAATCCAGGTGTTCGCCACCAGGCTCCAAATAGCCATCTGTATCAGCATCAGCATCATCATCATCATCATCTGCAGGGGGGTCTTCCCCCCAATACTCTGTCAAGACATCGAACAGCACGTGGAGGGATTGGTCCTCAGGCGGCAAATATAGGGTATGGAGGATTCTAGTTTGCTAGGCTTCAGGGCCATGTTTAATGCACACTGAGCATCGCGGAGTCTTGCAATGGGTGCTCTCCAACGACGAAGTGCAAGGGAGCTTAAGCGCTTAATGCCCCAAGCATCTACGTAAATGCTCACAGCCCCTTTGCTCACTGCAGGGTTGAGCATCTTGTGCGCCTCGGTCACCTGCAGGGACATGGTTTAATTAGAGGGGATTCAGCCTGTACATAGACAACTGATTCATAATCTTTGGGTGCCCAGGGCCTCCTGCTTCAGCCAATCGATAACCATGCATTTCGGGGTGCTGCAGCTCTTGCACCAAACTTCTAGTGCATGCAGCACGACATTCACGTTCATGGCTAGGGCCTTCATGGTTGCTGTGCCGACGAGCTCCGGGCTTGTCCAAGCTAGCAGCTGGTTTTTGTTCTCACGGAACCGAAGCCTGATATTGACATCCGACTCAAGAGCTTTAGCAAGGGCGAACGCCTCGGGCCACGCACTCGACCCCGTGCGACGCACACGGACTGGTGCACCCACAGGCGCACCTCCTTCGGCTGCAGCCATGCCACTGGCAACCGGCTTCTAGCTAAACCTGTGATCCCCACCCTGCATAGGATATACATCAATCATGCAGTGCATGGCAGCATCAAGTACACAACTTCACAGTCAAACTTAGCACCGGTCCGAAAGGAGCTCTTCTGTCGTCGGAGAAACCAAATCCTGCCAGCATGCCCGCTGAAAGTGATAAACGAAACCGTACCCGGCCTGTGGTCGTGACAAATGCCAGCCCTCCGCAAGCCGGCCTGGAATTGCAATGGGCATGGGGTCGATAATATTGCTATATCGGAGGCACAAATCTTCAGTAAGTTCGCAGCCACAGGAGTATCGTAGTGTAAAAGATCTTCAAGCCACCCCACAGCAGCCAGCTCCTGACATGTGCATGCAGTGCAAGCCAGCGTGAGCTCAACTCAGGCTCCTCCGGAATGGCTTCGCTGCTCTATGGTGACCTGTCAAGGTGGGAGCCGGGAAAAATACAGCAATGCAGCAATTAGTGCCTGGCCTTCAAAGAAACATGTCATCGGCACATCACCTGCGCGAGCACAGCTCTTTATAACGATTGGCACCACAAGCTCGTCACCACAACTTTTTTGCCACCCCCTTTCTACGTGTAGCAGCTGAGAGCAGGGTGCATGCAGTCGCCAGTCTGTAAACCGTGCCAACTGCTGTGTCCCTGACAAACTCCCCTGATCAAAGAGTGATCGCGAATGCTTCAAGCAGCCCTTCACTCGGCAGGCGGCAACTTCTCGTCGAATGCTGCAGAGCCTGCAGAGAATTGAGAAAAAAGTCAGCCATGCAATGGAGGGTATCATTGGATGCATGGCCTTCACCCCGACTGAACAAGTACAGAAAGTGCTTGCAGATCCCATCGTACTTTACATTCTGCACGATCTCTGTAAGCAACACGTCCGGGCTTGGCATGTCCTGCAACAGCATCAAGTGGAGACAAAATGTGAAATTTGTATTGACATGTCCGATCCTGAGGGTCAGCATAAAGGGCTGCGGCGGAGCTGTTCCAAAAAGCGTCCGGAAGTCGAAGCATTCCTTCAGGGGAATGGAGGAGATCTATATTGCCACTATGCATTTGCATGCAACTATAGAGCTTCCGTGTGGAGATGATCGAACCCTCGTCCTTCCCTGTGAGCAATGTTCAGCCCCTTCGGCGAGCATCTAGCCAACACACTGGCAGCCATAGCCCACTTGAGCTATGTGGAAACAAAGCTACACAAGGAAATTCGATCAGCAAAGCCTGCAGCACAGCACAACGGGTCACACTGAAAGAGCTTCAGCACACAGCAAAGCACAGCAGGCTGGGGGGGCGTACCACAGACGGGCCAGCAAAAGAGCCGGCCGGACGAAGGGGCAATTGTTCAAAGCCTACAGCCTGGATTTCAATATACTTAATATGAAGATCGACTGAATGGATTGGTGGGCTGGCTTCCAAGCAATATGCCCAGCATCAAATCCAATTACCCACGGTTTAGGGTTTAGGGTTTCGGGTTCAGCACGCCTTAGGGTCTCGGGTTTAGGGTTTAGGACTGGGTGTTTGAAGTAGGCGATGCACATGAAAGGTCAAGGAGCCAAGCTTCGGCCAATGGACAGGTGGATATAGTCCTGCAAGATAACCCCATAATCCATATAAGCGATACAATATATCTCGTCTTAGCCGATCGAACGAAGCAAAAAGCGTAACCGTTTGGGACTGCCCCGCGGCAGAAACAGGCACTAAAGCCAGGAAGTGTAATATTACACTTTTTTGGGGTTGTAACCAATCAAACCATTAATTCCCAAACTACCGGTTATTTTGTATACTTAAGGTTGTCAAGGCATGCATGATGAGCACGACTTGCCAGATCAGGGGTGTGTTTTAGATATGCGATGAACCGGAATCGCCATATGACGGCCGCGCTTAAGATAAGGATGAATCGGAATGGCCAAGTGACCGGGGCATGTTTAAGGTATAACATGACCCAGAACCGCCAGCGTGTTTAAGATACACGATGAACCGGAATCGACAAATGAGGGGGCGTGTTTAAGGAACGTATGCCAGCAACAAGAAAATTCTCTCTCACACACACACACACCCGGGCGCGGCCGGAATGCTTTCCGGACTAGAGCCACTTTCCCCAAATATTGGCGCTTTTCAAGTACGGAGCGAAGATTCTCACGCAGGGCCAGAAGGATTTATACCCCGAGTTGAAGCGGGTTCTGTTGGACTGACAAATGTTCTTCCCTCTGCACTGGTGGGATTCCGGAATCAAGCGGAGGGCAAGCCCTCCACCTGGAACGCGCGTTCTCCTGCCTCCTCTTTATTTTGTTTACAAAATAAGAACTTTTTTTTTTGATACCTAGAATAGCTTTATTTTTTATCTTCTAATGAGCCTGCCTCCTCTCTTTTTTGCTTTTAAACTGAGGATTTTTTGATCTCTTATTTAACTAGTTTCTGTGTCTTTTCAAAATAGTGTTCTTGTATCTTTTAAAATATGTTTTTTATGCCTCACCCGATGTGAGGAGGTAGAAGGAGGCAAAGCGAGATAGCGGGGCCCGATGACATGTGGTCTTGGGCCGAGCAGTCATGCACTCGAAGTTGCAGAGGGTCGAGACGACCGAAATGTAGAATCTTGACAGATTCTGGCCAGAAGAGGTGTGAAATGTGAAGTTCAGGAGTGCCTCTGGCATGTTTGGTTCTCGGAAGTCAACTGCAACCATGCAAAAGCTTTTAAGCCTTGTCTGAGCCCTAAAGTAGTATTTGATCTTCAACTGGGCCCTTTAAAGGAACCCTCTATGCAACAAAAAATACATGCTAGTTTACTCCCTGGTTGCTTCACCGCCCAATCATAGGTTTGACATTCTTCTGACCTTGGAGCCTTGTCAGTTTTTTCCTGAAGCTCGGAAGCCTTAAGCTTGCGCCCGATGCCGCTCCGCCACATTTTGTCTGAGGGGCCCTAAACCCTGAAGCAGGGATTTTAAGGTTTCTTCCGTTTCGGGCTTTGCGCTCAGAAATCGCAGGGTGTGCGGCGGGCCGGCAAAATGGAGGCAGACGCCGCCGACTGTGCCGAACCTCGGCTGACCCAGAGCTTCCAAAAATCCTCAATTGAGAAATATACCATTACATCATATTGGGGATCCTATTGCAATTTGAGGTATATGCCTGAATCAAGGAATATTGGAAGATCTGGGGAAGAATGGCTTTCCAAACCCCTGCTTGAAGCTTCCTCCAATCGTGAAAGTTCGAAAGTTCCAGGCCCAATCACATGTGTAGGCCCAATCAGAACTAGCCGGTTAAGAAAGTTTTCGAAGCCAGCCAACTTCGATGCTCGTTGACTAATATGATTACGAGGCGTTTCTGAGTTTGGGATTTAGGTCATTGGTCCTTACATGTTGGACGTCAGGTGCTTGACTAGAGATGGACAAACAGGGGGGGTCCTGAGCGGACCTGCTCCCCAGACCCCCAGAAGGATCTAGAAAATAGAACCCCGAATTTGTGAGCTTATTATAGTAAGAGGGTACTTTAAAGGAACCCCCCCTTAAGGATTTTCTAGATCCTTCTGGGGGTCTGGGTCAGGAAGACAACGAGGATCCGAACTGGCCAAGGCGAAACCGAGGCATCCTGGCATTCTCGCCATGGCCGATGGTCTCCATTGTAGCTCCGTTGTTGGGTTACCTGTTTATAGGGTTTAGGGTTTAGGGGATCCGAAATATAATATTGGTCAAACCAAACAAGAGAACTGCAATGGAGACTTATGGTAGGTAAACCTTAAACCCCATCATTGCAATGGCGGTAGGTTTGGGGTCTACAGAGTTGCCCTGATTAAGTTTCGGATTGGGTTCCTTCATGTGTGGTGTAGGGTGGTGTTCAGAGCTTCGGGATGAACTTGAGTGTGTGTGTTTTTTGGTGGCTTTTTGCAGTATTCCAGGTACTCACAGTTTCAGTTTGGGGAGTGGGTCTGAGCGCTGGTTGGTTTGGGAGTCAAGTGTTTCGGGTCTCGGTTTAGAGCTTCAGGTACTAACTATAGGGTTCTATAGTAGGGCCCCCTTTAAGGAGTACTAGAGTACTAGAGCTTCAGTCTGTGCAGCCCTGAACCAACAAACCGTTGATGTCGGTTTGGGATGCTACCCTACACCCCTAAAGCCCCAAACCCTCCACCAGCACCACCCCCAACCCCCAACTACCATAGAGGCCTGAATAATTCGTACAGGGTTTGGGGGCTCGTTGTTACAATAGTTATCGTCTAAGATACCCCCCCAAACCCTATTTTAATTATTAAGGCCCATATATAGGAATTCATCAACGAGCCTCGAAAGGTCGTGTGAGAAGATCCGTAAGCTGTTAACCCCTACCCCAAAACTCCAAACCACAAACGCTAGGGTTTAGGGTTTAGGAGCAAACCAAGGGTAACCCAGAAGCCCTAAACAGCCCTAAGCCGTGCGAAATCCCTAAACCCTAAACTCCAACCCTTCCTCCCTGCCAACACAGACAATCCTGAGCCTCCACAGAGGCTGCTGTCCGGGTTTCCAGAAATGTGGCCCATACCAATTCCGCTGGGGTACCTTGGCTTCTGGATACCGTCCAGGAGACTTCCCGTGTGTCAGCTTGTGGCCGATTGTAAGATTCAAGGTCTTAGGGTTCAGGTTTAGGAGGTTAGGATACAAAAGATTTGGTTGGCTCTTTGGTACGGACAGTGCGGAGTTCGATGAAGGTTGCTTGAGTTGTTCATGGATCCTTGCAAGCAGCTGTGCCTATGTTTCCGCAACACTGGTCAACGCACTTTCAACCCTACTCTTACTCATGCCGTGGATCTACCAGAGCCGCGATGACCCAACATGTCCCTCAAAGGCGCCTTCCATTGTACTCAGGCATCCATGTGCAGTGAACCTTTCGGGGCCGAGATATAAGAAAAATGACAAAACCCGAAACCCTCAAACTGAAATGTTTTCAACTCCCTTAAAGCCTAAACCCTTAAACCCTTACACCCTAAACCCTTTAACCCTAAACCCTGAAACCC